ATCGAATGGTAAGAAAAAACGAACGAAAACGAGAGCGGTCGTCTGAAGAAAAGAGAAAAAAAGACTCACTATTTTTACATTTCTCTTTTTTTAACCCTCCCCCCCTCCCCCACCCGATTAATCGACGAGATTGATCGATTAATCACGCGTAAGAAAAATATAAAGAAATCATCTTCTATATATATATATATATACATATAGACACACATAGTGTAAAAATATGTGTAAAAATTATATATATATAATTATCATATTATATTATATATTATATAATATATTATATATATAGTGAAAATATATTATTATATTATATATAATATATAATATTAATATAATATTAATAATTAATATTATATTAATATATAATATATTTCCACTATATATATAATATATAATATTAATATATATATTATAATATATTATATTGTTATATTATATTATATTATATGAATTATTATATTATATTATATATTATATAATTATATTATATAATATATATATTATATAATTATATTATATAATATATACATATATATAGTGAAAATATTTTAGATAAGAGAAAATACACGCGTTTCTGCACAGTGTAATTCAGTCTGACAGTAGATAGTGTCTATCGACTAAACAATGCCGCGTATGGTTGCACCAACGATAGCAACCACAACTGTGTTCTACATGTCAATAACGTGTTACTATACGTACGTACGATTGTTTCAGAATTTTCGTCCCATTAAGTAACGAGCATAGTAAAAATGTTCTCTTTTTTGTTGTTTTTTTATCGCTGTGAATCTTCAAGTTCGATCTGGGAATTTACTGAAACGAGATAGGAGAATGTTTCGTTGAAACATCGTTATCATCATTATCGTCGTTATTTCCTCTAAATTATCGGCTCTTCAATTGTTGAGATTTTCTACTCGTCTCGGTTCGACCCAGCTTTAAGCGGCTCTTAATTTTATAATTGTCTTCGTTTGACGATCCAACGATCTATGACTCGGCGAAAAATGTATTTCTCGATCGTTTCGACTGTACTTCCTCGCCACTTCCTCGTCAAAATTTGTACACGTGTAAATTCTCAGTTTCGTGGGTTTCTGTACAATCTACTGATCTACGTGGATTTAGAATATTGCAAATATATCGAAATGCCTAAATTCTTCTCTGTTTGTCTTCGCCGTCGCTGTTCGACTGCGTCTTGCGTGTACAGGGCGAGTCAAAAGTCGTGCAATCTCGGGGAAGATCCCCAGCAATGATTGTATCATAGTTAGAAATAGGCCAGGCGACGAAATCAATGTTCTGACATAGTCGATAATAAGAATGATCGAAAGTCGGAGCCTGGTGCGACCATTCATTCGATGAGTAAAAATTGATAAATGCTGTAGCTTTTAATCGCTACGATCTAGCGACTTTCTCGTCTGTATCGACAGACTGCGCACTTCCGTGCATTTGAAAGTGCATTGAATGCACGCGATACATCCGAAGGATGAAACGAATCGTTAGTAAAGATATAAAATTTCACAAATATTCGCAGTCTGCCGATCAAATTAATCGAAACTCCGATTTGGCCTTCCTTTTTTTTTTCTTTCTTTCTGTTAAAAGCAACTGCAGTTCTCTATCTGGAGTGTTTCGTCTATATCGAATAAATGATCGAAATATTACAAATTAATTATTGAAATCCGAGGAGTTTCATCGGTGACACAATCGAGCAGGCTAATTGGACGTTTCGAATTAATTGAATATGATTTACTATGGTAACATGTAACTGGATCAAATCAAAGTTCCGTTTCATATATGTATATATCAAACTTTGGCCAGGCTGCGGATTTTTATTGAAATTTCTCAGAACGTAACTGAGAAAGAAGAAGGAAAAAAAGAAAGAAAGAATAAAATCTCGATAGAAATATTAGACGAATCGCTATACCTTTTAATTTTGCATCTTTCGATTTCACTCATGCACGTGCAGAAATCCGCAGTCTGGGAATAAATGTACTTCTTAGCGATAGTAATTGCACCAGGCTCTGCGCGGACGAGGAATTTTTAGGAACGAATTTAACACGTTCCGTGCCATGTGTACCACCGGTGGTACACGTGAAGCTTGATCTTCAGGCCACGTGTACCACCATATTTCTAATAATATTACCAC